CTAACCCATGTTTAACACACATGGTTCAGACATTGATCGTCCTCAACAACCCCAGTGGCTTCCCCATGCGCTGGGGGAGCACCTGGTGCACCAGCATGGCCACACCCTCGCTCGGCATGTTATAGCGCATGCGTTTCCGGAGGCAGGGGGCGGCGGCAAATCGCCGCAGGCGTTGTCGGTGGTAGACAGTTAGATCGATAGCCGAAGGGATAGTTAGCCCAGAATCGTTAGATAGACAGGTCGGTTGGCGGCATGCTTCCTCTCCAGTGATCGTCCTCCACAACCCCAGCCCCTGGGCGTGGCTTACTGGGGGGGTCACAAATGGGGGGGTCAGAAAAGGTCCCCTCTCGAGCCCCCTTTCGGGCCCCTCCAGAGCCCCATGGGGGCTCGTTTGGGTACCGTTTGGGCACCTTTTCGGACCACCCTCGCCACCCCCCCATTTATGACCCCCCCATTACGCGGCGCACAATCGGGCCGGGCGAAAGGGGGGGATAGCAAAGGGGGGGTTTGAGAATCAGCTCACGCAGCTGATTTTCCTGGCGCCTCCCGGCGCCGGAGGCGGCCATGTATCGAGGAATGTGTGCCCCTCGGCGAGGCCGAAACCGGCTGCATGCAGCAAATTTCGTAACCCCCCCTTTCCCAATCCCCCCCTTTCGCCCAGCCCGACACAAGCCCCGTCCGACTCTCAGAGGTCCGGCCGTGGCCGTGGCCGTGGCCGTGGCCGTGGCCGTGGCCGTGGCCGTGGCCGTGGCCGTGGCCGTGGCCGTGGCCGTGGCCGTGGCCGTGGCCTTGGCCGTGGCCGTGGCCGTGGCCGTGGCCGTGGCCGTGGCCGTGGCCGTGGCCGTGGCCGTGGCCGAGCCGCGGCGGGGGCGCCGCAGTTCGCCGGGAGCCGGCCGGGCCGATCGCGCCGGGGCGCGGCACGCCCGGGGCTCCCCCTTCCGCCCTCCCCGCGGCGCCCGGACGGCCCGGGCCGACCTCCGTCCCCTCCCTCTCCGGCGCCTCTCTCCCTCCCTCCCCTGTGCCTCCTCCTCTTGCTCCTGCTCCTCCTCCCCCCCCTCCCCCCCCCCCCCTCCCCCTCCCCCCCTCCCCCTCCCCCCTCCCTGCCCCCTCCCTCCCTCCCTCCCTCCCTCCTCTCTGCCTTCTTAAAGGGGCCCCAGGACACACAAAGAAATACACACAACTAAAAAGACCCCCAACATTTCCTCATACTTTCTGGGCTTCTGTCTCCCCCCCCGCTTCCCATATTTTCCGATATTTTCCTGGGAATCGACGATCAATTGTGTCTGTGTGTTTCTTTCCCTCCTGACTTCTGCTCCCTCCTCCCGCCCTCCCTCCCTCCCCCCTCCCTCCCCTCCCCCCCCTTTTTTCTTGCTCCTCCCGACCGTCGTCCGCGGCCGGCCCCCCTCCGCCTCTACCCCCCCCCCCGAGCGGCGGCGCGCCAATGGCGCACGCCGCGGGCCCCGCAAGCAGAGGGCGGCTCCGAGGCGGGAGGGCCCCGCGTCGCGAGGGTCGCAGGCCCTCGCGGCCCCTCGCGGCCCTCCCCCGCCACCAGCTTCCAGTCGGGCCTGTCCCCCCCCATACAGGGGGACTCTCGAGGAGAAACTAAATATACCCCAAACGGACCCCCCAAAGATGCCCCAAACATACTAAAACATAGTCCCCAGGTTATTTATGTTTGCTTGTTTGTTGTGAGTACGGTTGAAAATATGTGAGTAGTTTGATTATTGTTTGACGATTGTTCCACTATCTTTTTTACTATATTTGCATATCTCCTCGTGTAGAGGGACAGACCCGACCTAACACCAGCTCTCCGCGGCCCCCTTCGGCGAGCAGAGGCCTGCACCGCCCGCGCGCACAAACCCCGTTCCTCGCCGCGCGCCCGCCGCGCTTGCCGCACGGCCTGCCGGCCCCCGCCGCCGCCCTGCTGAGGTGAAGCCAGGCTCAAGTCGGGCGTGTCCCCCTGCAGGGGAATTCGCGACGACAAATAATCGGGGATGGACAAGCCTCCCTTTAGCAAAACGTGGTTTGGTGAAAACGACCCGAGGCCCAAACCTGGCGGGCGCGAGCCTGGAAAATAACGGCCACGGCGCCCTCTCGAGAACCGCAAACGGACAATTCACTAATCGACGTGTCACTGTTGGGGGTTCTGTCCACCCCCGAAATAAACAATACTCAACAGATACTAAAACAATTGTCTATAAATACTCACAAAAGAGTCCCCGTATTTTTGGTTATTGAAACCACTTTGGAATACTCCCCCTGCAGAGGGACAGGCCCGACTGAAAGCCAGGCGCAGGAAAAACTCGGATCGGGCCAAGACGGTTATCGTGGCGGGCGCCGCGGCGTCTCTCGGGGCGTCCCCTGGGACGCTCCGAGAGCACCCGCGGCATGATGCATCCCGGTTCCCCCCTTGCCGTCGCTCGGACGCCCATTTCCCGTGCATGTTTCGGTGTCGTGCGTGTTGTTGTTGTTGCCCGATGGTCCAGGATGGTCCTCGATGGTCCTCGCCGAGAAACAAATGCACACGTCCGGGCGATGCCAAGCCCCAGGCCTGCCCGCCTTGCCTTGGCCAAGGGCTCCCAACTTCGCGCTGCGCGCTGCGCGAAGCGCGAAGTGCGAACAACTTCGCGCTCTCCCGCCGCCTCCCAGGAGAGAAGAGGAGGATGAGGATGAATCCGAACCGCGGAGGGCGCGAAACGTTTAGCGCTAGGAAAAAGGATGAGCCGAAGCAGAGGACGAGAAGAGGAGGACGAGAAGAAGAGGCTGAGCCGAAGAGGATGAGATGAGATGAGATGAGACGACTCCCAGGAGGACAGTCCCAGGAGAGAGGGCCCAGCCCGCAAAACTTGTTGGGCAGGTGCACCATCAGGGGGAGATCTTGCGAGGCCGAGCGTGGTGACAAAGCCACGCACGGCGCTCGCGACAGGTGCACCCGCTCCGAAACCTTAAACCTGGCGGCTATTCTCGCGGGCTCGAACTCGCCCCATCAAGCGAAGCATTCGAGCTTCATAAGAGATGGCACTGCCGACCGAGTACTCAACAACTGAAGTCGTCGCTCTGACATCCCTCGCACTAGCCACTGTGAGGCCGACACGTGGGGCAGGAATCGCTCGGTCGATCAACGCACGACTTCGGGGGTTCGGGGCGAGCCCTCTCCGAAAACGCGGCAAAATCAGTTTACCAGTGCAGGTGGAGGGGGCACAGGGCTTGCTCAACTTAATGGCCTTTTCCTGGCTCCGACCTCCACACTTCAGACACAACAAGGATCCCCGTCGAGCCTTAGTGCTCTCTTCTTCGGCACGGCACCGCACAGCACGCAACGGAGCAAGACGAGAGCCACTGACGGCGACGAGCTGATGTCCCGTCGAGTCAACCGCGAGAGGCTTCAAAAACGACGGGGCCCCAAGACAACCATTCAAAGGCAAGTTACGACACGATGGCGCAACTTTGAAACAGACTTCGCACTGTCAGCCGAGCTCCCCCAGACCCCAACCGTGCCACCCCTCCCCCCGAGAGTTCCTTTTATCGGCACAGTGGTGTGGGTCTCCGCCACCGCTGCGGCCTCTCCTCGACAGAGCACGGGAGGATTGCAGCAGCCAGCGCCACAAAATCGGCAGCCCGACTCCTCGCGAGGTCAAGCTTGGCCAAAAACTCAAGCGACGGAGCAGGGTGTAAACTGGCGGCAAGTTTAGCGTGGTGATCGGCGAAACGGTTCGCTTCGGCCCAGTGGCGCTCCTCGCCCGACAGACTGTCAATCTGCCCCAGGGACCGACGAACCTTGACGTGCCGAACCGAGATGAATTGGTGGCCTTCCAGGCCACGACCGAACTTCAGAATGCCAGCGGCCTGGTTGGACGCGCGCAGCTGAGATTGAACAGGCTGCTGGAATCGCCGAATCGCAGGGATGCAGTCGCTGCCAGCCAGGGTCTCGCGGTCGGCGATCTGGCCAATCAAGCAAAGCGCAACACTTTCGGCGATACTCGGCGTTTGCGGGAGGTCGCCAGCTACAGGGCCTCGAATTACTGCCACGGGCACATTCGACTCAGGAGACAGCACTGCAAGTGCCCACGACGCGCGCTCAAGCTCCACTAAGCCTGGCCGTGTGCAGGAGCCGTCGGGGGCTACGTCCAATCGAGGGCCCTGAACGAGAGACGCCACACCCTCAAACTCAACCGCCAACCCCTCCCCCTCAGGGCCCTCGAGGACCACTTTATCCGAGCAGGAAGGGGGGGGGGGGGATTCCCCCTCGTCATACAGGAGAGCTCCTTGCACAAAGATGGGATCGCCAGACCCGATACCTGCACTGATGAATAGGGGGCTGACTTTAGCCTCAGTGCGGGCGGCGATGACGGCAGGCAGCATGCATTCATTCAAACAGTGCTTGATTGTCTGCCTCTGGCCGCACGCACAAAGGCCATCGCAAATGTAGCCAGCAGCCCGGGCGCGGGCCTTGGCCCAGACTCCGCGGCACGAACAGCTCCCAACAAGCAACTTCTGCAGACTAGAAAGCCGTCGAGACCGATCGCCGACCGGCGACCGAACGAAGCCAAGCGAGGCCCTGTAACCTGTCGGAGCTCCCAGCTGCATGGCCAAAGCCCTCTCGTGCTGGCGCTGAATGCCAGCAAACGTGAGAGTTGAAAGCATACTCGGAGGCGTTCTGCTAACGTCGATTGTCGCCCCTCGATGGTCCATCCAGCTTATCGCGGACAAGACTCGCCAGCCCGCACGCTGCGCAGCTAGCACAGCTCGAGACAAGGGGCCACGACTAGATGCCCAGTCGGTGACCTGAAAAAGGCTTGGCTTCACGCCATAGCCTCAACAAACGAGCACGCACAGCGAGCGGGTGTCTGCAGACATCCGATTGCCACAACATTCTGCACCACTGGATGGCAGGCGCAATAGCGGATGCAGCGGCGCCATCACCGAGCAAGACAGTCTTGCTCGAAAGGCTCACACCACCATGCACAGGAAGTTGGCCTCGAGCGACATCACGCCTGCACCTCAGCGACTCCGAGTTGCTGAGCCCGACGACCTCACTGCCGTAGGTGGCCTCGGGCAAGGCGCCAGCACGGATGACGCGGCCGATAGACTGCGCCTTGTGGCCAGTGATGGCCTTGCCGAAGGGCCTGATCTTCCGCATGCGCCTCAGCATGTGCACCTTGCGCTTGGCGCGCCTGGTGGGCACTCCCTGGTCGGCCCCCCATGCTGCCCTCGCTGACGTCGACGCCAACATAGACAGCGCTGCGCCTCGCAACGGAGGCAGGTAGGCCGAGCCTGGACACGATGCCCTGCGCAAGGGAAAGGGTGGTGCCGACAATCACCAGCTTGTCGTTGATGATCGCGTCGAGCTCAGTGACCGCCTCCCTGAACTCCAGCATTGCGTTGACCATCATGAAGTAGTCGTGCTCACCGTGGTAGACGACACCCGAACCGAGTTGTCGTGAATGTAGCTCACAAACTGAATGAACGGCTGTCTGACAAGGAAGCAGTCATACCCCCTCACAGACCATACCTTGACCGAAACATCACAAAACACATCTCCAGCAGGGAGGCCGCATTCGGCACAAAGGGCCTGCTCCGCATGATGAACAGCTAACCCCAGCACACGTGGCGCACGCCACATGTTGCACGCCAACTTCAGGAAGGCCGTGGGCGCGTTGAAACTGATGTACTTGTCGCGCAGCATGGTCAAAGGAATGCGCTCGTAGTACTTGTTGAAACCGGCAACTGCGAGTGCGCCACGGTGGGCCTGCTTGCTGTCGGCCTCACCCTCAGCCGCCTGAAGCCACGCACAAGCGAACGGAGGACCTCCCACGAGCAGCACCCCAGTACGGCCTGTGAATCTGCCCCTGCAGCTCTCGAAGCACTGGCCGTCGCATCCGCTGCCAAATCCTGTAGGGCCCAGCGTAGAGCACCACCAACCGATTGCCATAACCAGACGTCTTGGGTAGCATCGGCGCGATCAACCAGCACAGCTGCCTCGGCGGTAGCCCCAAAGACTCCATCGTCTTGAACATCAGGGCGACCACCTCGAGGGCCTGACCCTCCAAGAGAATGAGGTGACGGGGATTAAAATGATCAGGCGCTGCCGTGGTGTCGTGCGAGAACGATCGCGCAACTGCACCTATCTCGCCAGGATTCACCTTCGGCAACGCCGTTCGGTCAGGAATCCATGCTGGCACTGGACGGGAAGTGGACCACAACCTCTTGTACAACTCCACTTCGTGCCGAACAACATCGTGCACATGAGCCGACGCACCATGGGCCGTTGGGACCGCCGTGGGCTGAGCAACGTCACGGTACTTCGTAGTGCGGTGGAGGAGGCGTGAGCCATTGGAAACGGCCATGGCACACCACTCCTTCCACTTCTGGCGGTCCTCCTGGGTAGCTCCGTTGACCGCGAGCTTGACGTCGGGCTCAATGTCCCCTAGGAGCTCGCGGCATGCCTCCTCCTCAAAGCCAGCCTGCACCACGCCGCGCGCCTGCTGAACAGATCGATCGAGGCGCGCGGCAAGGCCCTGCCCATGGTAGTTGGCCGTCGCGAAGTTGAGGATCTCCTCGGCAGCCAACGACAGGTCCGGCACGGCCGGGTTGGCCACCGTCTTGCACTGCATGATGCTGAGGAGGGAAGACTTCAACCATTGCCAACCCTCGGCATCAGCCTGCAGGTCGGACGCGTCTTTGACCGCATTGGTGACGTCGGCCCACCGAGGTTGCAAGTACCGAGCGAAACCAAAAAGAACTCTGCGATCCTGATGACCCACAGCGTTCGCGATAGCCCCTGCGGCTGCGACAGCGAGGTGGCCCCGCGCCGCCGAGAAAAGGCCCCATCCAAATCCAGGGGGAGACTCAGGATCGCCACGCGACTGGACAGTAGCTTCGGCAACACACCGAGCGCTGGTGTAGGTGGGCGGCTGCACTTGCGGCCCGATGATGATCTGGGTGCCCATCTTTGGCGCCACCGTGTAGACCAGCCGCTTGACGTGCTCAGCATCACATTTGAGGGCAATATGAACAGGCCGATGGCCTCGCTTAGCCCACTTGACAGCAATGCCGACACTGGCATGCATCCTCATGGCCGCTGAGTTGAGGAGGAAAAATCGATGACAGACTGACCTGTACCTCCTCGAAACGTGACAGAAGACGAGCTCACAATCGAACAACCAACGTGAGCGGGGAACTGGCTCGCCTCCAACTCGCCTGGGCACATGTTCCAATCACCGCCAATGAAGACTGGACCGCCCAGTGCCTCAGCAGCGAGGCCCAACTCTTGCAACAGGCTGCCGTTGCGGCCAGCGGCGCCCTCACCAGTGTGCAGGTACACGTTGAAAGCATGCAGGCCGACAGGCAGCTCGGGTCTATCTGTGAGAACATTCTGAACTCGGTTCGGGACGACCTCATGCACACCGATGGCAGGAGGACGAAGTCCGAGACGATCGCGCACGGCACCAGCAACACCTGCCGACGGCACAGAACCAGAAGTCGGCAGGCTCGGCAACGCCATAAGCCTCCAACCCCGCACACCGCACCATGAAGCCACAGCCTCGACGTGCTCGCTGATGTGCACGAACTCCTGCAGCAGCACCACGCTCGCCATCGTGTTGGCGAGGCGCTTCTTGACGGACGCCTTGCCGCCGCTGGCGTTGTAGGTCTCGATGCTGAACTCAGCGCCGACCGTCGGCCTGGCCCCGCTCGGCGGCGCCCGCCCACGCCCAGGCAGCCCACAAACGTCAGGCCAGGCAGTCGAAGGACCACCCATGCCGCGCTCGCTCGACCGCCAGCTCGGACCACATAGTGTCGAAGGCGGACATGAAGTCATCGACGCTGCCTTCGCTCCGAGCATGATAGAGGGCCCGCTTCTGCACCTCCGTGGGGGCAGGCATAGCCTCATCAGCAGCATCAGCAGCAGGAGGAACAGTCCCAGCGCTGGCGGCACGGGCAGCAGCCTTTCTGGCGACCGCCGACTTGATCTTGACGCATGCCTCAGACTTGAAGAGCGCGACGAGGTCGGGCTGGTCGGCCACGTCCTCAACCAGGTCGATGTCGGCCGCAACGGTGGTGACGTTCTTGGCCGACTCGCTGAACGCCGCACCCAGCGCCGCCACCTCCAACTTCTTCGCTGCGGTGGTCTCCTTGCGCGTCGCGATGCCCTTGGCCAACTCCTCAAGCTGGCGCTCCTTCTCACCCGACTCCTTCTCCAACTTCTCCAGGCCGTTCCGCGCCCGCTGCAAATCCTGCTGCGTGCGCCGATGGAGGGCCTGGGGAGACAGTAGCGCACGCTTCTCCGTGCGCAGCGCCTCCAACTGCTTCTCGATCGGACCCCGAAGATCCTTGTTGCGCTCGTCGGCGGGTGGAAGCTTCGGAAGGCACCCCTCGAGCTCCGTGATCCGCTCGCCGAGCTTGGCACTCTGCGACTTCTTATCAGGGTAAGCGCCGTCTGCGGCCTCGCGCCACGGCGCTGTGCCGCCAGGCTTGGGCCACTCCTTGTCGGGCGGCGCCAAGCGCTTCTCGATGGCCTGCATCCACTCCGCAAGCTGCTTGGGGATGCCCTGCGTCGCCGGGCCTCCTTGCTTGAAGCCCGCCTTCTTGCCGCCGCCTCCGCCAGCATCGGCCTCCTTGTGCTTCTGGCGAGCACGCGAGAGGATGGCAGCAGGCGCGTCGCGGCCGCAGAGGCACTGGATGCGGCACGCCCAGTTCTCCGCGCGCCCGCATTGCCCGCAGCACCAGTGGGGCTTGCGCGGGCCTCGAAGCCGAGGTGGGGCGGACCACCTCGGCGCTCGCCATGGGGCTGACCAGGGGAAGGACTGCAAACTGGCCGCGGACTAACGGTATCCACGCGTTCCCCTGTGGAACAAAGCATCTTGAGCCAAAATGGCTACGGCTGAGCCGAAGAGGAGAAGGAGGCTGAGAAGAGGCGATCCGAGCCGCGGCAAGCGCGGTGCGCGAGGAACTTCGCGCCTTCGAGGACGCCTTCGCTGGCCCCTATTGCGCCCCGAGGCTGGAAAACTGCCATGACCCCCCCCCCATCTGGGCGGCCGTGTGGCTTCTGGGTCACCGCTCGGCCTCCTGGCGGCCGTTCGGGATGATCCGGGCACCCTCGGAACACCCCCGGCGAGGCGCAGCTGCCAGAACGCGCCCCAGAGGGCGCCCTCGCTGGCCCCGAGGAGGCGACCCCCAGCTGAGCCGCGGGGGCCGAGGAGGAGGAGGAGGAGGAGGAGGAGGAGGAGGAGGAGGAGGAGGTAGGAGGTAGGAGGAGGAGGAGGGGGGAGGAGGAGGAGGAGGAGGAGGAGGAGGAGGAGGAGGAGGAGGAGGAGGAGGAGGAGGAGGAGGAGGAGGCGGAGGAGGAGGAGGAGGGGGTCGAGCACAGCTCGGGCAGCGCCCCCCGCGCACGCCGCACGGGGCGCGCGCCCGCGCGCCCGCGCCCGCGGCGGCTCGCGAGGGAGCCGCACCCTCGGCGGGCGGCCCGCTGCGGAGCGCCGTCGGGGAGGGGGGGGGCTCCGCCTCCTCCTCCTCCTCCTCCTCGTCCTCGTCCTCGTCCTCGTCCTCCTCCTCGTCCTCCTCCTCCTCCTCCTCCTCCTCCTCCTCCTCCTCTCCTCCTCCGTCATCTCCTCCTCCTCCTCCTCCTCCTCTCGTCCTCTCTCCTCCTCGTCCTGCTCATCCTCCTCGCGTCCCCGTCATCCTCCTCCTCCCCCTCTCCTCCTTCCTCCTCCTCCTCCTCCTCCTTCTCCGCATCTTCCTTCTCCTCGCTTCCTCCCTCCTCGTCCTCGTGCTCATCTCCTCTCCTCGTCTTCCTCTCCTCATCCTCCTCCTCCTCCTCGTCTTCCTCCTCCTCCTCCTCCTCCTCCTCCTCCTCCTCCTCCTCCTCCTCCTCCTCCTCCCCTGGGCGCCTGGGAGGCCAGGGGCTCCCAGGCGTGCGCGCCCAGCCGCGCACGTGTCCAGCAATCGGTCAGACAGCGGAAGAAAGAGCGCCCACAGGCAGAAGCGGCGCTCCGCGCGGACCTCTGGGGTCCGCGCGGGACCCCCCTCGCCGGCGCGCGGAACGCGCAGAAGGGGCGCCGCCGGAGGCGCCGCCAGGGGGGGGGCCAGCGCGGATCCGAGAAGCCCGCGCGGAGCGCCAGAAGTTTATGCTCATGGGCGGGGCGCACCCGCGGCAAGGGGCGGGGCGCATCCGTGGCAGACCGAGGCACGGGGGCGCGGGCGGGGCCGCGCACGCAGACGCGCCGCCCCCCACCCGCGGGGCCGCACCCACGCCGCGCGAGCTCCCGCGCGCGTGCGCCACGTGAGCGCCCCCGCGCGCGCGCGCCTTCGCCCCGCTCCCCAGGGAGGGCGCCGCGGCGGCGCGCAGAGGTAAAACGACGGGAAGATCGGGACAAAATCGGATCGGGATAACTCGAAATCTCTGATAATCGGCAGGTTTGGAGGATGTATTGGGCGCCGCGGCCGCTCCAGAGCGTTCCGGAACGCTCTGAGAACGCTCCGGAACGCTCTGGAGCGATTTATCCCGATCCTAGCCTTGTTTTAGGAGGGGGGTGACTAAGGGGACGGGGGGAAGGCGTCGCAGAGGGGAGCTGAATTCCTGGAAGGCCCCCGCCCTGCATCTGCAGACCAGGCCCGCGCCTCCTGAGAGACCGGGGTGCTCCCAAGACCCCCTCCCCCCTCCCCCTGCCCCCCTCTGCGCGTGGCCGATCCGTCCCGCTGCCGAGGGAGGGCGCCGCGGCGGCGCCCCCGCGCCGGCCACCCCCGCGAGAGGGCGCCCCCTGCGCATCGCTGAGGCGGCGGCGGCTCTGGAGGCGGCGGCGGCAGCCTTGGGGCGCCCCCGCCCCCCTGCCGCAGTCGCCCGGCGCCCCCCCGGAGCCCCAGGAGGGAGCGGGAGGCGCCAAGAAGCCTGGAGCCTCCATCGACGGATGCGTCCTCGACGCTCGCCCTCGAGGGCGGCGACGACCCTGACGACAACGGCCGCCCCCCAAGGCGCCCCGTCATCTTGCCGCGGGCGCCCGGTGCACCTCGGGGTGACGGGCGGTTCGACGCCCCCGTCGGCACCCACGTCGTCCCTGCTCTCGCCTCATGCCGCCTCCGTCGTTGCCGTCATCGCTTTTCCTCATCGTTTCCGCTGTCGTCGTCGTCGTCGTCGGTTCCGTGCTTGCCGTCGAGGTCGTCGTGGAAACCTCATCGCTTCCGTCGTCATGCCCGGCTCCGTCCCCGCCGTCGCTGTCGGTGTTCGTCGTCGCTTCCGTTGTCGTCATCGTCGGTTTCGACGTCGCCATCGTCTCTAGATTTGTCAAAGCACACACACACTAAGATTAAGTCGGGCCTGTCCCCAAACAGGGGGATCTTGGACGACATAATTAAAAATTCCCCAGAAAATACCCCCGAAATGCTCGACATTATCAAACATTAGTCCACAGAATATGCTTTGACTAGTTTTGGATATCCCCCCTGTAGAGAGACATGTCCGACTTAACACTAAGAGCAATATGTAAACAATCCATGCCCATCAGGAGCGAGCACCACGGCAAGCGGGCGAGAAAGTGCCAGACCAATCCCAATACCTATATATAAATATAATAATAATAATAAATAATAATAATAATAATAATATAATAATAATAATAAAATAATACTAACGATAATAATAATTATAATAATAATAATAATAATGATAATAATAATAATAATGATAATAATAATAATAGTAATAATAATGATGATGATAATAATAATAAAAAAAAATATTAATAATGATAACACTAATATATATATATATAATAAAAAGGAGAGAACGTGATCCACCGACGCTTTACTGTGGAAAATTGCCAACCTTTTCCTCCGGAGCCCGGGGGTCGCCCTAATATATATATATATAATAAAAAGGAGAGAACGTGATCCACCGACGCTTTACTGTGGAAAACTGCCAACCTTTTCCTCCGGAGCCCGGGGGTCGCCCCCCCCCCCCCTCCGAAAATCCCTCCCTTGCTGGACCCCCCCCCCTCCCCCAGCAAAACCCCCCCCTCCCCTAACCCGTCCCCCCCCCCATCTCCCCCCTCGAAAACCGGGGGGGGTCACTACCCCCCCCACCCCCCTCGAAAAACCGGAGGGGGGTCACTACGCGGTTCGAACCCCTCCCCACCCCCCCACTCACCGCCAGCAAACGACTCCCGGTCCCTACCACCGTCCGCATCACATCCTCCACGTTGTTCCCAGCACCACTGTCCTCACCACCACTGTCACTGTCCCCACTGTGTCCCCACCAGTGCCCCCACCACTGTTGCACAGTCCCAACTGTCCCCACCACTGTTCCCACCACGTTCCGCTCTCCCCACTGCCTCCACGGCCCAACACTGCCACAATTATCCCCACTTGTCCCCACTGTCCCACTGACTCCGCCGCTGTCACACTGAGTTGTCCCACTGTTCCACACTGTCCCCTCAGTCCCCACTCCAACTGTCACCACTGTACCCTTGTCCCATTGTCCCACCGCCGTCCTCGCCACCGCCTTTACCACTGTCCCCACCACCATTGTACCCTCCACTATCCCACTGTTTCCACCTCATTCCCACTGTCCTCACCACCACTGTCCCCACCACCACCGTCCCCACCACTGTCAACTGTCCCCCCTGTTCCCACCATTGTCCCCACCACTGTCCCCACCACTACCGTCCCCACCACTGTCCCACTGTCCCACTGTCCCCACCACTTTCCCGCTGTCCCCTCACCACTGCCCCCACCAACACCGTCCCCACCACTGTCCGCACCCCCACTCGGTTTTCGAGGGGGGGGAGGGGTTCGAACCGGTAGTGACCCCCCCCTTTTCATGATGAACTGGGGGGGGGGGGGGGTTCGAACCGGTAGTGAGCCCCCCGGTTTTTTCCGGATGGGGGGGGGGGGGGGGAGGGGTTCGAACCGGTAGTGACCCCCCCCCCGGTTTTCCGCCAGCAGCGGTAGAACACGCTCTTTCCGTGGATACGCGGTAGCCTGGACAAATTACGTTCCGCGCGGGGCCGCGAAATCAAAGCCCTTATCCACGGGGTTGCGGTCAAGGACATGGCCCGCGAGGCCATGGATACGGATATGTATCCCGCCCACAAGATCCTTGGCCCGGTACTTCACGAGCAGGTTCTCGATTTCGCCCAGCTTCGTCGGGTTGTACTGCTGGTAGATGGCGGTGATCCGCTGCCTGCATTCGGCGGCCTTATCCCCCACGGCCGCGCCCATGCCAGGCACGGCAGCCTGACCGCCGAAAGGGCTGGCATGCGCGACGCCGAAGGCGGCGCTCGGCGCCCCCCCTCCGAACGGGCTGCCAGCGCTCGCCTCCGCCCCGAAGAGGCCGCCGCCAGAGCTCTGCGCGGGGGCGCCGCCGAAGAGGCCGCCGCCGGAGCTCTGCGCGGGCGCAGCGCCACCTCCGAAGAGGCCCCCTCCAGCGCTCGGCGCTGCTCCGAAGAGACCGCCGCCAGAGCTCTGAGCTGGGGCGCCGCCGAAGAGACCGCCGCCGGAGCTCTGCGCGGGGGCGCCGCCGAAGAGGCCGCCGCCGGAGCTCTGCGCTGCGCCGCCTCCGAACAGGCCGCCCGAGGACTGCGGCGCTGCGGGCGCGCCCGCCGTGGATCCGAAGAGGCCGCCGCCCTGCGAGCCTCCGAAGAGGCCTCCGGCCCCGCCCTGAGGGGCGCCGAACAAGCCAGCGCCTGCGGCTGCTGCTGCGCTCTGTATCTCAGGCTGAGGAGGCACGCTGTACTTCTTGCAGATCTTCTGGTAGAGCACGTACTCCTGGCCTCTGTACTTCGTCATCAGGGCGTCCACCTCCCCGACCTTCTGCGGGTTGTGCTGCTGGTAGATTGCGACGATCCTGTCCTTGTACCCCTGCACCGGGTCCACTGCTGGTGCGGACGTAGACGCTGACGCCCCGAAGCCATGCGGCGCTGCTGCGCCACTCGAGCTGACAGCCGCGCTGGCGAAGAGTCCGCCAGAGCTCTGCGACGATGCCGACATGCCCAGGCCACCGCTGGAACTCTGCCCGCCGCCAAAGAGGCCACCTTACTGGACAAGTGCCGAAGAAAAGGGAGGAGACACCGAACCGATGCGCGCACAGCGAAACGAGCGTGCAGCCCAACGTTCCGACTACTCCGCGCGACACGAACACGCAAGCTCGCATGCCAGGGCATGGGGCGAAGAGGAGAGAGGAGCCCCACAAGCGGTGAACGCCTGGCCGGCTGGACAGCAACGTCAAGCGCCATCACCATCTCTCCCATCTGAGAGACTACGAGAAGAGGGTCCCCAGGACACAGCGATTTTGTGTCGTGGCTTGCTCAAGCAACTGACGCGGCATACGGCGTGGCGGTTAGGGCGCTCAGAACACCAGGAGAGCAGCAGCAGGATGAGGAGTAGGAGGTTCGGGGAGAACTGAGGTAGCGGGATTAATACATATATTATATAGATAAGCATGTATCCACGTAGTTTTATGTAAACACATGCATGCATGCATGCATGCATGCATGCATGCATGCATACATACATACATACATACATACATACATACATACATACATACAGCGCATTGTTCGGAGAGGGGGGTAGTGCAGAGGGAGAGGAGCTCCAAAATCTAAGGATAATCATTGTGTCTTGCCTTCTCGCTTTTTCGCTTCCGATGGGCCTCGGAGGCCTCCAGATGGCCCCAAGACGGCCCCAGAGAGTCCCAAGAGGGGCCCAAGAGGGCCCCAAGAGCGGCCCAAGAGGGCCTCAAGGCGCCATTGTTGGGCCTCCCGCGGGGGGACCTCAATTGCCTACCCCACTTTTTCCCAACCATCCTGTGGTGTTGGGTCTCCGTTTTGAAGAGACAGCGCCGCGCGTCCCTGCTCCTCCTCTCCTCCTCCCCTCCTCCCTCACTCCTCCCATCATCATCATCATCATCATCATCATCATCATCATCATCATCATCATCATCATCATCATCATCATCATCATCATCGTCATCGTCATCGTCATCGTCATCGTCATCGTGATCGTCGTCATCATCATCAACACCATGGCCGTCATCATCATCAACACCATGGCCGTCATCATCATCATCATCACCATCATCATCATCATCATCATCATCATCATCGTCATCATCATCATCATCATCATCATCATCATCATCATCATCATCATCATCATCATCATCATCATCATCATCATCATCATCATCATCATCATGGCCGTCATCATCACAATCGTCGTCATCGCATTCGTCACACCCCTCACACGTTTCGTCGCCCCATAGGGAGCTTCATCCAGTGGCGCAGTCCGCATGGCGGCGCCGCCCCATCTTGGTACACCCCTCACACGCTTCGTGGCCTCATAGGGAGCTCCACCGAAGGTCCCAGTGGCGCAGTCCGCAGAGCGGCGCCGCCCCATTTTGGCACACCCCTCACAGCTTCGTGGCGCCATATAGGGAGCCCCACCTGATGTCCCAGCGGCGCAATCCGCATGCCGGTGCCGTCTTTGCACACCCCTCACACGTTGCGTGGCACCATAGGGAGCTCCACCTGAGGTCCCAGTGGCGCAGTCCGCATGGCGGCGCCGCCCCATTTTGGCACACCCCTCACACGCTTCGTGGCGCCATTGGGAGCCCCACCTGAGGTCTCAATGGCGCAGTCCGCATGGCGGCGCCGCCCCATTTTGGCACACCCCTCACACGCTTCGTGGCGCCATTGGGAGCCCCACCTGAGGTCTCAATGGCGCAGTCCGCATGGCGGCGCCGCCCCATTTTGGCACACCCCTCACACGCTTCGTGGCGCCATTGGGAGCCCCACCTGAGGTCTCAATGGCGCAGTCCGCATGGCGGCGCCGCCCCATTTTGGCACACCCCTCACACGCTTCGTGGCGCCATTGGGAGCCCCACCTGAGGTCTCAATGGCGCAGTCCGCATGGCGGCGCCGCCCCATTTTGGCACACCCCTCACACGCTTCGTGGCCCAATGGGGAGCTCCACCTGAGGTCCCAGTGGCGCAGTCCGCATGGCGGCGCCGCCCCATCTTGGCACACCCTCGCACGTTTCGTAGCCCCAAAGGGAGCTCCACCCAAGGTCCCAGTGGCGCAGCCCGCATGGCGGCGCCGCCCCATTTCGGCACACTCTTCATGCGTTTCGTGGCCCCATAAGGAGATCCACCGAAGGCGATATTAACAACGACGGTATTCCACAACTGCATATGGGTGGGTCCTTCGCCAAGCTGATTTGTTTCATGGGAGCCAAGATGGCCCCAAGAGGCCTCCCAGACCCCTTCAAGGAACCCCAGGAGGGCCCCAAAACCTCCCAAATAAGCCCTTATGAGTGCCCTAAGAGTACCCCAACGGGGGCCCCGAAGAGAGCCCCTATAAGGTGGCCTTCGTCGTCAATCAAGGACCTCTCACAACAACATACCTCCAAAGCCCGAATCCATCCTGCTTGTCATCGTCAGTTCCTTCCCTCCTTCTTTCCTGCCTCCCCCTCCTCCTCTTCCTCCTCCTCCTCCTCCTGATTTTCCTCGTGCCGCATTCCTCAGCCTCCTGCTCCTCCTCCTGCTCTTCTTCCCCCTCTTCCTCCTCCTGCTTTTCTCATTATCCTCCTTCTTCCTCCTCGGAAGACGACGATTCCTTCAGCGACGACTTCTTCCAAAAATAATTTCTTCCCGAAGAAATCGTCCTGGAGAAATGGTTCGGAAGAAATGGTCTGGAAGAAATCGTCGCGGAAAAAATCGCCCTCGGAAGAAGTGGTCCGGAAGAAGCTGCGCGGAAGAAGTCACCCGGAAAAAGTCGGCGACAAAGGGACTGTTCTTGGAAGACATCGGCGCGGAGAAGATGGAGGAGGAGGACGAGGACGAGGAGGACGAGGACAGAGAAGAAAGGGGGGAGGAGAGACCTCTTCCTCCTCCTCCTCCTACTCCGCCTCCTCCGCCTCCTCCTCCTCCTCCTCGCCCCTCTCGCTCGCCACAATCACACAAACATATAGCACCAGTGATGCAAAATGAGCGGGCGGAATGATTGGAACGATTCAATAATAAGGGGGCAACACCGGGAGCAACAGCGCGAGACCAGCATCATTTCCGGACGGGCTGGTGGGGATACACGAGGCGTCAATGATAGGGATGACGAAGGAACCGTAGGATGAGAAGCGACGGTTCTTCACAGACCGTTCAGAGTATCAGGGATCCCACGCAGACGGTTGCGTGTGCGTGCGTGGGCGCGCGAGTGCTTGCGTTCCACGCTGCTGGCCCCTCTCTCTCGGTATTATGGTTACTCGGTCTCTCAGTATCTCTCTGTTTCTCTCCCTCTCTCTCTCTCTTTTCCCCGTCTTCCTCTCCTCACCATCGCTCTCCCTCTGCCTGTGTTCGCCCCCTAGCGCGCTCTCGCTCTCGCTCTCGCTCTCTCTCTCTCTCTCTCTTTCTCTTTCTCTCTGTCAGCCTAGTACGTTTATATATATATACATATATATACACACGTGTGCCATTTGTTTTTGTTATCTCTCTCTATCTCCCTCTCTCTCTCTCCCCCTTTTATCTCTCTGTGTTTAAGTAGCTCTCTCTCTCTCTCGCTCTCTCCCCCTCCCTCTCATGACCTTCTTACCCATCTACCCTACGAATGGATATCGCACATCACCACGGTCAGTGCCGGCTGACGCCGCAACGGTTCGATCCATGTGCGTTGGCAACTGGTTGGGGCCAAAGGCTTTTGCGCCGAAGAAAAAATACCCTGGCGGGGGTCTTAAGCGCCTGCTTTCCTAACCCCGCTCTCCGTCATTCCTCTTCCCTATTTCCCTGCTTCTTTTCATCCCTTCATCCCTCATTTCTCCCCATCCCCCGTTCGGTTGAAAGGGGGCTGTGAACGATGGCACGGGACTCTTGCTGACAACATATCTGCGCAGGCCTGGCCTTGGGCTGCGCTGCTGCTGCTGCCTCCGGAGCTCTGCGGTGCGCCGAAGAGGCCACCCGCAGACTGCGGGGCTGCGAGTGCACTCGCTGCGCCCGCCGTGGATGCGAAGAGGCCGCCGCCCTGCGAGCCTCCGAAGAGGCCTCCGGCCCCGCTCTGAGGGGCACCGAGCAGGCCAGAGGCCCCAGCTGCTGCTGCGTCCAGTATCTCAGGCTCTGCGGGCACGCTGTACTTCTTGCAGATCTTCTGGTAGAGCACGTACTCCTGGCCTCTGTACTTCGTCATCAGGGCGTCCACCTCCCCGACCTTCTGCGGATTGTGCTGCTGGTAGATTGCGGCGATCCTGTCCTTGTACCCCTGAACCTTTGCCCGTTCTAGGCCGAGAGGGACGGGGAAGAAGAAAAGGAGGCGGCGGAGAAAAGGGGATGAGAAGTAGAAGACGGAAGGGAGCAGAGGAGATGGGTGGATCAAGAGAAGGAGATATCCAAAAACCGCGAGAGGTCTGTAATGCTGCTTCCCCTCCCCCCCCAAAGCTCGGGGCTGGCAATCAACTCCGAGTGTCCCCCATGTCGCCCTGTCCTTCTCATCCTTCTCCTAATCCTGCTCCTCCTCTCCTTCTCTTCTTCCTCCCCACGGCGGCGACGGCCGAGTAATGGCGAGCACTGTTGGGTGTCTCCACCCTTCAAGTAGCCCCTGGAATGCAGGGGGGCATTCAATAACCGCTCGAGGTCCAACGGGGATGAAGACGTGGAGGATGAGCAACATGAGCAGGATCAGCCGTGGCTGGAGCAGCAGCATTATGGCTGACTCCGGAACCCCAAAATCTAAACATGGTGGCGAGATCTGCCGTCGCTCGGACGACCACTTCCCGTACATTTTTAGGCTTCGTGTTTTTTGTCGGCTCGATGATCCAGGATGCTCTTCGACGGTCCTCGCCGAAAGAATGCACACGTCGGAGCAATGCCAAGTCGTCTTCGCCGCCTTCCGCTGGCGGACCCGCCCCCGCTCCGCCTCCGCCCACCTCCCCTGAGGGCGAAGGGACGCGCCGGAAAGGAGGCCCCTTCTGGCACGCGCGCCGAGGAGAGCAGCGCCCAGCGGCAGGAGGATCGGCAGCGCCGCCTGCTGAGTGCCGTGGGGCGCAGAGCGCCCCCTCTTGGAGGCGTGCGTCCGACCCGAATGCGTACTCCGGACTGCAGGATGCGAAGGGGATGGTCTGATTCAGGGGGGGGGCTCTGATTCGAGCTGCCTCGGAGCGTTCCAGGGGGGGCTGGGCGAAAGGCTGCCCCTTCATGGCTGGTTTGGGAGGGGTCTAAAACTGCCCGTCTGGGAGGGCTGTGAACCCCCCTCTTTTCTTACGGCATCTGGAGCAGTACAGCCGTGTTGTAGCACATAGCTTCCCGAGCGGTAGGGTCAGAGAGCGCCCGCCACGGAGCAGATCTACTAAGAGATTCTGATCGCGCAGGCCGGCCCTTTGGGGGCGACGCATGCATGATCTTGGCATGTTTGGGTGACACCGTGAGTATCGTTTAACCGATCCCATCCCCGGCGGCGTGGCCTGGGCCCCACTGGCCGACTTACGCCCCTAGATGGGGATATAGGTCGTTCCCTTCGGGTTTCGAGGGGTGTATCCCCAACTGGGGGGGGGTAATTTGGTGGGGGTCTCGAAGGGGATGGGGATGGGGCTGGGGATCGGTTAAACGATACCAACACCGATGCCGTGAACGGCACCCGGCATCCCTCAGCAACCACAGCAGGAGAGCACAGGTGCAGCTCGGCCGGCTTTCTGAGGGGGCCTCTCTCGCCTCAGCGCGTTGGCTGGAGGCCATCAGCGAAGGGCAGAGGCTGGCGAAAAGACAAACTTAGGCCCAGCCAGGCGCAGTGGCGAGATTTCGGTGGCAATTCAGGTGAGCCTCCCACACCATCTTGCTGGGTCCTGCGAATCGACGCTGACCGACGCTCGTCGACGCTATATGGATGCTAACCGACGATAAATCGACGCTAATCGAAGCCATCTCATCGTTTACCAGACGCTAAATCGACGCTAGTGCACTCTAAAAGTAGAATTGCGAGGGTATGCATGGCCCCCGAAGATCTGCAACCGAACAATATGGTGCGAAGACCATGAGATTTACGCCCTCACAGCCGCCCCTGCCCCTTGCCCCCAATCCCCATTCCGCATCTCGCGCCCAAGCTGGTCAGTTCTCAGTCGGCGGAGTCGGCGGTTCCAAGCTCGCGCCACGGAATGATGAGAGAGGGGAGGGGTGAGAGGTGAGGGCGAGGGTTGGAGAAGGGGGAAAAAAGGAGCAAGGGGAGCAGGATGGGGACAGGGGGGCGGTGACAAGATGAGAAGAAGCAGGGATAAAGAGGATAAGCAAGGATAAACGTACGTACTAACGTTTAGCAGTAAGACGAGGACAATGATGATCAATTGAGAAAAGGGAAAGAGGTGGAGAAAGAGAAGGATGGGGAGTCATGAGTCATGGGGAGCCCTCCTACTCCTCCTCATTCTCCTCCCCCTCCCCCCCCCCTCAGGGAGGCCTCCTCCTCAACCCATCCTGCCTCCTCATCCTGCATCCATGCCCCCTCCTCCTCAGGAAGAGGAGGGAGATGAGAAGGGGGTGGTGGTGGTGGAGGAGGAACAAGGGGGAAAGAGGGAGAAGGAGGAAGGGGAGGAGGAAAGGGAGGAGAGTGAGGAGGAGGGGGGATGGCGGGATGGCCGCGTTCGACGAACCCTCAGATCGAGAGAAAGAGAGAGAGAGAGAGAGATGAGGAGCCACCTTGTCCACTGCGGCTGGCGCCGCCGGAGCTGTCTGTGCCGCAGCTCCCCCCGCCGGCACGGCGTCGGGCTCCTGCAGGGAGAGGGGGAGCGTACATCACCACTACCTACCACCTACCACCTACCACCTACCACCTACCACCTACCACCTACCACCTACCACCTACCACCACCACCACCACCATCACCACCACCACCACCACCAATACCACCACCACCACCACCACCACCACCACCACCACCACCACCACCACCACCACCACCACCACCAGCACCACCAGCACCACCACCACCACCACCACCACCACCACCACCACCTACCACCTACCACCTACCACCTACCACCTACCACCTACCACCTACCACCTACCACCTACCACCTACCACCTACCACCCTCCACCTACCACCTACCACCTACCACCTACCACCCCCACCACCACCACCACCACCACCGCCACCACCATTACCAGCACCACCACCACCCTGTCATTAACAATTACACAATATGAGAATACTCTGCCACTTCCCCTGATGGCGTCCCGAAGATATCCGACACCCCCCCGGCGTATTGTTTTTTTACACACAGGATTCCCGGGAAACGGGTTTTCGCTTGTGTTTTTTTCAACATGCTGCTCTCGCTGAGGCGCCGGCATCATTTCTGCTCCCGAATCGTTCCGAATCGTGCTCCCGCTGCAGCGTGGGCCTCATTTTCGGATCGGTGTTTGGCCTCCGTCGTTCAGGACGGCGTTCTCGCCCCAGCGCGGGCCTCTTTCTCGCGCGCCCATCCGCCCGCCACCACCGCGCCGCACCACCACCACCACCACCACCACAACCACCACCACCACCACCACCACCACCAGCACCACCATCACCACCACCACCACACCACCACCACCACCACCACCACCACCACCACCACCACCACCACCACCACCACCACCACCACAACCACGCACGCACGCACGCACGCACGCACGCGCACCACCACCCACTACGCACGCGCGCGCGGAGCCACAAGTCCGCTACGACACGCGTCCGCGGATAGAGAAAATCAGCGCCATGGTAAGGGATGGGAGGGAGGGGTAGGACGTCAGATATGACGCGAGCGAACCTAGCTTGCCACCACCCTCCCTCCCTCCCTCCCTCCCTCCCTCCCTCCCTCCCTCCCTCCCTCCCTCCCACACACACACACTCACTCACTCACTCACTCACTCACACCCACACACACACACACATAATTACACACTTTTTGCGTCGGCGGCTAGGCAGAATCACTGCGCTGGCGGGAGAAGCGTGGTGTGGTGCACGGAACGCGAATTAGGCCACCATGCAAGAGGAGGAGGAGGAGGAGGAGGAGGAGGAGGAGGAGGAGGAGGAGGAGGAGGAGCCCGGCGGCGGCGGGGGGAGAGGGAGAAGCCGGGCCTGCTCACAGCAGGGCCAGGCACGTGCCAGGGGCGGCGCTGGGGGGGGGGAGCCAGCGGCGGCGGGCCCACAGCAGGCGGGGGGGGCCGGGGGCAGCTGCGGGGCAGCGAGCCATGGCGAGGGGTCGGGTTCCCAGCCACACACACAGCCGAGCATCTAGAGGGACGCGTCCCATGAAATGGGGAAAGTGGAAGAGGAGAAAAACAACACGCATGCTTCAGATCAGCCGGTTTTCAAAGGTGCTGCGTCATCTTATGCACTTCCTGCGCCTATTGCTGCCGAGGACCACCCCAACCAAATCAAGGACCCAGACCTCCGACGACGTGTTCTTCAATCCAACCGTTTTCCCTCGGCGTCGGCCTCTGGGGCCCGTTGTCGCGCCCCCGAACGGTCAAAAATGGAGAACGGATCCGGGACTGGAAACTGCGGCCGGGAAGCGAGTCAGGACCTGGGGCTAGAGTGCAGCAGAACCACCATCATAATGAGCACCCCGACAAGCGAAGCCGCTCAACTAGCAGACGCACCCAAATAAGGAATCGAACATGGCAGGGCTGCTCAGTAAACGCCGACGGCTGTTTAGTAAACGCCAGCTATGGGGGTCGGGGGGGGGTTCTCCCCCCCTTGAGGGGCCGCGCATTGGAAACAAATACTCTCAGAGGTCTGGGGGGCAGGGTGCGACCGATGCTTGGTGAGGTCTACGCCTGGAGAAGGAATGTCCTGCGCTCTCCCTCTTTCTTGGCCTGGCTTTCCCAGCCCCTGCAGCCCCAGGCACCTGGGCGACGGAAGCGAAGGGGTCTTACGCGAGACGACGTCGCGACCTTACGTGGTGGCTTGCGCGGGCCGCCAGCGCGGCACGCCACATTGGAAACAAGGGCGCTTACGCGCGACCCTCTGCGGGGCGCTTGCGAGTCAATGTCAGCGCAGTCGAACCCGCTTTTTCCTCCGTGTAAGGAGCGGCCGCAGGGGGCCCCAACCCTCTCCCCAGGTGCAGCTCGCCGCCCCGGGCCCGTGCTTGGCGACAACGGGCCTCGGAGGCCGACGCCGAGGTCAAAAGCCGCCCCGACGGACAAACCCACACAACACACCGTAAGAGGCCTGGGGCGAGAATGGTGTCATGATAAGGATGGCTCAGGATACATTCCAGGATTTCCAGAGCTTCTTGCGGCGCAGCTGGTGCGAAACATGACGAGAATATGAAAGGTCCTAGAAACCTTTGAGACCCTGAAACGGATCACTCTCATGATCTCTTGCTTCCCTGAGTCCCCCCCCCGAGCTCCTCCCGCTTCCTCGTGGCCGTGGCCGGCTCCAGGCCGACCAGCCCCGGGGCCGCCGAAGTACCGACCGCGGGCGCGCCACCGCCGAACAGCCCCGCGGCACCCGCGGCCGCGGCTTTCGGCGGGAAGAAGCCGGCAACCTCCGACTCGGAGCCAGCCAGGCTCGGGGTCTGGCTGGGCTGCCGCGCCGCGGCCGCCCCTGGCGGCGCGGCGCGCGGCCCCGCGGCGCTTCCCGCGCCGAAGACGGGGCGCCCGCGCTGCGTGTCCGGCGAGGCCGCCGCCGCCAGCGCGGGCGCGTTCAAGGCCGCGGGCGGGGCCTGAAGGCCAACTTCGCGGGGTCTCCTGCCGGGCACCGTGCTCGGCGGGGGCATCAACGCCCCGTCCGCCTCGCCGCCTGGCTGCCTCGGCCTGGCCTTCTCGGCCGACGGGGGGCCGAAGGTCCCCTCGTTCCGACGGTTGCCGAACGTCGGGGTGTCTATCTCCGTCGGCGGTCGCGCCAGGCCCTCAAACGCCCCTCGGTCCAGGGCGAGGTGGTCCGATCGCTTCGCCCGGCGCCGGGGCTGCGCGGCGGCGTGCGCCCTCAGCTGCGTGTACAGCGACTTGCGCAGCTTCTGCACTGGCGCAGCGCAGGCGGGGGGCGACGCGGGCTCCGCTGGGCCCGGGGCCGAGCGCAGGGAAGACTCCACGTCGTGGGAGCGCTGCGAGAGGGCCAGCAGGCGCTCGCGGAGCTCCTGCGTGCGGTCGCGCTCCTGCTGCGCCTGGCGCTGGTAGAACCAGAGGGACCTGCCCTCGTCCTGGCCCGCCCCGGGGGGCACCAGCGGCGGCATCGCGCCGGCCGTCGCGGCCAACGGCCTGCCCTTCTCCAGCGCGGCATCGCGCAGCAGCGCCTTGCGGCCCGAGCCGCTCCGGAGCGGGTTGGGGGGCAGCCGGTTCCAGGCGGGGCCCGTCGCCCTGGCCGTCCTGCAGGGCGCCGCCCTGCCCCCGGCGCCGCGGTCGTGCGTGGTGCGGCCCATCGGCACCAGGGAGCTCGGGCCCTCTGCCGGCCTGGGCGCGTCGTCAGAGGTGCCCGCGGCGGGCGCCGTGCCGGTGGGCGGTTGGCTGAACACCCCGCCCAGGGCGCCCCAGTCGACCTTGCCTCCAAGCTTGTCGATCATATCCTTCTCGAGCGATGCCATCTTCGCCTCCAGGGCTTTGCAGCTGTCCTCTATGGACTGCAAGGCTCTGCTCGACTGGCCAAGGGCGCTCTGCGATCCGCTCATGATGCTGCAGTAGTGCTGCACCGTACCGGCCTGCATCTCCGAGAGCGTGGCCAGAATCTGGGCTCGCCCGGGTACGTCCAGGTCGCAGATGCGCTTCTCCGTGTCCGCGCTCTTGGCCGCAATGCCGCCTAGATCCTTGACCAGGCCCGAGACCAGGCCCTTGTCGACGTGGCCGCACGTGGCTTTCTCCAGCTTCTGCAGGGCGTCCTCGAACTCTTTCAGGTGCTTTGCGGTCACTTCGCCAGGCTGCCCAGATGCCCTGAAGGCCTGCAGCAGCTTCTCGGCGTCGCTTTCCGTGGGCGGGCCGGCGGAACTCGCCCGCGCGGGCACCGTCGGCGTCAGGCTGGCCGAGGCCGCGGTCCCCATGCTGATACTAGGTGCTGTGCCGCTGCCTGACATGCCGCCGCCAGAGACCTGCGACGACGTTGACATGCCCAGGCCCCCGCTGGAGCTCCGGTCCCCGCCGAACATGCTGCCGCCGCTGCTCTGCGCCCCGCCAGCGCCTAAGAAGCTGCTGCTGCAGCTGCTCTGTGGCGCGCTGGATCCGACGAGGCCTCCTCCGGCGCTTGACCCTGTGCTGGAGCTGAAGAGGCCGCTGGTTGATGCTGCGCTCTGTATCTCAGGCTGGGCAGGCACATTATATTTCTTGCAGATTTTCTGGTAGAGCATGTACTCCTGGCCCTTATACTTTGTCATCAGGGCGTCTACCTCGCCGACCTTCTGCGGGTTGTGCTCCTCGTAGATTGCGACGATCCTGTCCTTATACCCCTGAACTTTGTCTATTGCCTTTGCTACAGGACCGGATGCGGACGCAGACTCAAACGCGCCAGAACTCTGCGACGCCGACGCGTTACTCGACCCGACCGCCGCGTCGGCAAAAAGGCCGCCAAAGCTCTGCGACGACGCCGGCATGCTCAAGCTCCCGCTTGCGCTCTGCACTCCGCCGAAGAGGCCGCCGCTGCTCTGCGCCGCGCCAGTGCCGAAGAGGCCGCCGCTGCCGCTGCCCTGTGCCGCGCTGGATCCGAAGAGGCCTCCTCCCGCGTTCGGCTCTGTGCTGGAGCTGAAAAATCCACCGCCAGGGCCACTGCCGAAGAGGCCGCCGCTGGAGCTCTGCGCGGGCTCGCTGCCTGACAGGCCAGCGCCAGAGCTCTGCGACGACGTCGACAACCCCAGACCGCCGCTTGAACTCCCGCCCCCGCCGAAAAGGCCACCGCTGCTCTGCGCCGCGCCAACGCCGAAGAGGCTGCCGCTGCCGCTGCTCTGCGCTGCGCCGGATCCAAAGAGGCTTCCTCCCGCGCTTGGCCCAAGCCCTGTGCTGGAGCTGAAGAGGCCGCCGCTGGAGCTCTGCGCGGGCTCGCTGCCGAACATGCCGCCGCCGCTGCTCTGCGCCGCGCCAGTGCCGAAGAGGCCGCCGCTGCCGCTGCTCTGTGCCGCGCTGGATCCGAAGAGGCCTCCTCCCGCGTTCGGCTCTGTGCTGGAGCTGAAAAGTCCACCGCCAGGGCCACTGCCGAAGAGGCCGCCGCTGGAGCTCTGCGCGGGCTCGCTGCCTGACAGGCCAGCGCCAGAGCTCTGCGACGACGTCGACAACCCCAGACCGCCGCTTGAACTCCCGCCCCCGCCGAAAAGGCCACCGCTGCTCTGCGCCGCGCCAACGCCGAAGAGGCTGCCGCTGCCGCTGCTCTGCGCTGCGCCAGACCCAAAGAGGCTTCCTCCCGTGCTTGGCCCAAGCCCTGTGCTGGAGCTGAAGAGGCCGCCGCTGGAGCTCTGCGCGGGCTCGCTGCCGAACATGCCGCCGCCGCTGCTCTGCGCTGCGCCGAAGAGGCTGCCGCTGCCGCTGCTTTGTGCTGCGCCAGACCCAAAGAGGCTTCCTCCCGTGCTCTGCCCAGTGCTGGCACCGAAAAGGCCGCCGTTGGAGCTGTGTTCGAGCTTGCTTCCGAGCATGCCGCCGCCGCTGCTCTGCGCCGCGCCAGTGCCGAAGAGGCCGCCGCTGCCGCTGCTCTGTGCCGCGCTGGATCCGAAGAGGCCTCCTCCCGCGCTTGGCCCTGTGCTGGTACCGAAAATGCCGCCGACAGAGCTCTTCGAGGGGTCGCTGGCGAACATGCCGCCGCCGCTGCTCTGCGCCGCGCCAGCGCCGAAGAGGCCGCCGCTGCCGCTGCTCTGTGCCGCGCCGGATCCGAAGAGGCTTCCCTCCGCGCTCGGCCCTACGCTGGCACCGAAGAGGCCGCCGCCAGAGCCCTGCGCGAGGGCGCTGCCTGACAGGCCGCCGCGGGAGCTCTGCGAGCTGCCGAAAAGGCCTGATGCGCTCTGTATCTCAGGCTGAGCAGGCACATTATATTTCTTGCAGATTTTCTGGTAGAGTACGTACTCTTGGCCCTTGTACTTTGCCAGCAGTGTGTCCACCTCGCCGACCTTCTGCGGGTTGTGTTCCTCGTAGACGGCGACGATCCTGTCCTTGTACCCCTGCGCCTTGTCCACTGCCGTTGGCGCGGACGGCCCAGCTGCAGCTGCTGGCGTGGACACAGACGTGGACGCACCAGAGCTCGGCGACGCTGCCATGCCATTCGAGCCGACGACCGGTCTGCTGGCGAAAGGGCCGCCAGCGCTCTGCGCAGACGTCGTCATGCCCAGGCCCCCGCCAGAGCTCTGCTCTCCACTGAAGAGGCCACAGCCAAAGCTGGCGCTAACCGGCTTGAAGGGGGAGTCCGCCGTGGTTGCGTACCCCAGCCCCGACGACTGCCCCGAGCTCGCCGAGCCGCTGGACGCCGCCGTGAAGGGCGACGACGCGGTACTGGAGAGCCCAAACATCGCGCCTGGCCCCGTGCCCGCAGATGCGGCCTCGAACGGTGACCCGACCAGGCTCGCTGCTGCCAGAGGGGCGGCGGCGCCCGCGCCAGAGGACGGGGCCCCGAAGGGGGATGCCGGCGGCCCCGCGGGCGCGGCGAAGGGCGAGCTGCTGCAGGCTGCGGCCGCTGAGGCCCCGAACGGCGTCCCGGCCAGGCTCGAGGCGGCCAGCGGCGCGGCGGAGCCCGTGCCCGACGTGGGGGGCCCGAAGGGAGACGCTGGCGGTCCCGCGGACGTGGCGAAGGGCGAGGCGGCGCCAGCTGCAGCAGCGGGAGCGCCGAAGGGCGAGACCGCCGGGCCCGTTGCCGCGAAGGGCGAGGCGGCACCAGCCCCGGCAGCGGGAGCGCCGAAGGGCGAGGCCGCCGAGCCTGCGGCCGCGAACGGCGAAACGACGGCCCTGGTTTCAGCAGCCTCCTTGGCGGTGTGGACGCCGGCGCTCGGTCTTGCGGGCTCGACCGGGCGACCCAACGAGTAGTCACAAAAATGGAGGCTGACGGTGCCGTCCGAAGCGGCCAGGAGCACCACCGGCGGCGACGGCAACGTGGGAGTGTCTGCTGGCAGCCCCTTGCAGGCGACGTCCCCGCGGAACGACGTCAGAAAGCAAAGGCCGCGCAGCTCGGTGGTGGAGTCCATTGTGACGGCGGCGGGGCACCCGAGCTGCTTGCCTTCGGGCGGCGCCAGGGCCACCCAGCCGCTGGCTTTGCCGAACCGCTCAAGACTCGAGGGATGGCAGCTGAAGAGCGCTATGTCCGAGCTGCCTGAACACCCCATGAGAAGCAAAGACCAGTCCGGCACCCAGACAGAGTGGGCAACCATGTGCTCGAGGTGCTCCTCCAGGAACACCATCTGCTCCGCCGCGGCCCTGACTGTTGCCGTCCTGAAGTCCCCGGACATCTCCAGCACTGCATGGGTCGTCTTGCATGATCCGTCCTTTCGGGAACAAAGCGTATCGACACCGCCACTCCCCGGACACCTCCCGGGGTGCGTTCTGACCAGAGGGTCGAGGCGAGTCCGACCGTGGCGACGAGGGCCTCGCGAGAGGCCCAGAAAGGCGACGACGGGAGAAGGACAGCGGCATCGGTACCTTCTCCTCCTCCTCGGAGTCCTCGCTGTCGCTCACGAACATGCACATGGCCTCGACCACGTCGCCGCCGCCGCCGCCGCTCCTGCGGACGAGGCGCACGCCGCGCAGCCAGGCCTCGGGCAGGTCCTCGAACTCAGCTGGCAGGCCCTCGAGGTGCACGGCCCACGCCTCCGAGGTGCCCGTGTCGAGTGCCCACACGCAGCTCTCGCCGCCGAGGAGGACCAGGTCGGAGCCCTCGATGGCCCCGAGGCACTTCGCCTCGAAGTCCACCACCTAGTAGAGCAGTCGCCGAGAGATACTAGGTGCTCGGAGATAGCTCGAGTAGCAGAGCGATCTAGGGTCTCTCGAGACTGCAGAGCGAAGCTCTCAGTCATGCCCGCGTTCCCTCTACGGGAGAGCTCGTCAGCTGCTCTCGGTCGCGAGATTTAGTCAAAAACGTTCGAAGCTCTGAGCATCGTTTGACCGATCTTTATCCCCACTGGCGTGGCCTCGGCCCCACTGGCCGACTTACCCCATACTGATGGAGACACAATTCTCTTCCAGGGCTCAGGGCCCACCAGCCCCCCCCCCCAGTTGGGATGGGTCCCAGGGCCCCACGGGACCCCCACCCAGATGGGATGGGGGGGGCGGGGAACGACGACGAAAACGATGACGAAGACGACGACGAAAAAGACGACGCCAAAGATGACGACAACGACGACAACAAAGACGACGACAAAGACAACAACAAAGACGACGACGACGACGACTACGACGACGACGACGACTACGACGACGACGACGAAGACGACGACGACGACGACGACGACGACGACGACGACGACGACGACGACGGCACCGCAGCACCACCTCACACTCACAGGGGGGAAGGGGGGGGCACCGCAGCACTACCCCACACCCACTGGGGGGGGGGACCCTCCGGGGGGGGGGTCAGGCGATTCCATTCGTATGGTGTGGAGGGGGGGACCTGGGCCCTGGAACATACATTATGCAGGGTGCCCCCCCCACCCTCATGCTATTGGGATCGATCCCCGCACCCCCAGAGGATGGGTACTCCCGTGAGCCTCGCGAAGGCCATGCGAATGGGATCGCTCCCCCTCCCCCCCCTGAGGTCGTGGCCATGTGGGCATATCGGGGTGGAGGGGGGTGCTGGTGCCCCCGACCCTCCCCTTGTGGGTGTGGAGTGGTGCTGCATCGTTGTCGTCGTCGTCGTCGTCGTTGTCGTCGTCGTCGTCCTCGTCGTCGTTGTCGTCGTCGTCGTGGTCGTGGTCGCCACCGCCGCCGCCGCTGCTGCCGCCGTGGTCCCCCTCCCATTCCATCTGGGGGGGTCCGAATATGCCTGTTCCCTCGGGTTTCGCGGGGTGTGCTATCCGCACCTGGGAGGGCTGGCCCGTGGTGCTGAGATACCATGGCCTGGTGGGGATGGGAATATTTTAGACAATGCTCAACCTCGTGGACGCAGAGGCAGCGGCCGCGCCAGGGTTCTGCCATTTCGACGCGGCCAGACGAGCAGACGCACAGCAGGACCTGGCCCCGCCAGCACACCTCCGTCACGTCCTGGCCCTCGCCCAGGTTGGTCGTGTAGACCAGCTCCTCCTTGCCGCTGGCGGCAGACTCCAGCGAATAGAACGACAGGCGGCTGCCGCAGGCCACGCAGACGAGACTCGCCCCTCTGCTGTCTCCGTCGTCCTCGCTGGCAGCAACCAGCCAAGGGGCCTCGCTGGCTTCTATTCGAAGCAGCGGCTCCGCTGGGGTGGCCGCTCCTGCGACTTGGGCCTCGACGAGTGCGCTGCCACGGTAGGCCACAACGGCGCCGGGCACGATCACGAAGACGAGATCGTAGGCCCGGCTGCAGCAGAGCTGCCCGAGGCTCTCGCTCTCCGCGTCGCAGAGCGGCAGCTGCGGCCCGTGGAAGAAGCGGGGCTCCTCCACGTCAACGGGGCCCAAATCAAAATCAGCCTCGCCCACAGCCATCGCGCCTCCTGTCCTGTCCCCGCCCCGGCCGCGCAGAGGAAGAGGAGGAGGAGGCCACACGCGGCAGGCGCATGCACGCGGGCGACGCCAGCCCAGGGGCGGGGGCCAGCCTGACGCGAGCCAAGAACATACCACAACGCTGGCTGGCGGCCGACGTCGACAACAATGGCAGCAGAGTTACGCAGATGTCTCCCAAATCGGGTCCGAATAGATGGGGCTGGAAGATCGCGCCGCATCGCCGCATAACGTCGACAACACTGACAGCATAATTACCTATAATTATGCAAATGCCTCCCAAATCGGGTCCGAAAAAATAAGACCGGAAGATCGCGCCGCATCGCCGATGTATCGGCGACGCACCAGCGATGCATGAGACGTCGGCGACGCATCGGCGCCGTCGGCGTGGAGAGAATCGGGCTCCACATGCGATGCGACGCAATCCTCCGACACCACCCGGAAAGCGTTTTCTAATGTTTCGCGATAGCGGCCGTTACTGCCCCCCCGGTAATGTTACGTTTCGCGCCGGCGCCGTCTGGGAATGCTTAGAAATAGTCAGAGATAGCGCGGATGGCAAACACCGATAGAGACCTGCTACGACTGAGCGCGCAAACCCATAAGGATCTGCTACAGAAGGGCGATTCCCTTCTCCGTTCCCTCCAACTCCTCCTCCTTCTCCTCCCCCTCCTCGTCGTCGTCCTCCTCCTCCTCGTCGGCGTCGTCGTAGCTTTTCTCCTCGGATCGTCTTCGTCTTCTTCATAATATTGCAAGGTGTTCGTGCGAGGACAATAGGGGGAGGGAGTTTGGACGAGGCAGGCAGGCCGGGACAGGCTGAAACTACCTGTTTGATTCCACTTATGTTATCGATTCGTGCTATGGTGTGTGTGCATGTGCATGTGCGTGTGCGTGTGCGTGTGCGTGTGTGTGTGTGTGTGTGTGTGTGTGTGTGTGTATGTGTGTATGTGTGTGTGCGCCCGTCGTCGTCCTCCTCCACCCCTTTTCTCTTCCTCATACTCCTTCTCTTGTCGTCCTGCTCCTCCTTATTATTGCGTTGGGGGCGCGTGGAATGGCGTACACCCATGAGATGCCTGTGTGCCGCCAACGCCGAACTGCATTCTCCCTTGATCGAGAATCTCAAGATGTTCCCGCCCCCCGAAACATTACAATGCAGGAAACCAACGGCATGATGCCTCGCCCTGCGGCTCGATGTCTCCCCCCGCCCCCAGGCGCTCTGTAACCAGAACGGGCAACCACGACTGGACGAGTTGCTTGGGCGACTGCTGTCGGTCTCTCCCAAGCGGCAGCAACACGAGATGCACAACATGATCCGCACCGACAAACGCGTGGCAACTCATACCTGGCGACCCCTGATTTGGGGCCACCAGGCTGCGAGTATGAGACCCGCAGCCCTGATAGGGCAGGGCGCGCGCCTCCGAGCACCAGAGGCCCGCGAGCACCGCAATGTTGAAGGGGCCTTGGGACACACAAATAAATACACACAAATAACAGCATTCCCAATATTTTCCTATATTTTCGGGGTTTGTGTCTTCCCCCCCACTTCCCATATTTTTCAATATTTTCCGGGAAATCGACGATTAATTGTGTCTGTGTGTTTTTTTCCCTCCTGAAATGTGTTCGGCTGGGAGCTTAAAAATGGTTTGATCACAGTTCTGTTGTCGATTCGTGCTCGTGCACGGGTCTGGACGCCCCCGGCCGGATAGGCCCGAGATTGTGAAAAGGCCTCGTTGTCGTCGTTCTCCTCCTTATCCTCCTCCTCCTCCTCCTCCTCCTCCTCCTCCTCCTCTTCCTCCTCCTCCTCCTCCTCCTATTGTTGTTGTAAGCACTTTGGCTCGTGCACATGCCGAGCTAGTCCTTGGTCGGCGCCCCTGCGCCCCGCCTCCCTGTCGCCCATGGTTGTCGCTGCCCGCATGGCGTACCTCAAGCAACTGCTTGCGGCTGGCTGTAGACTCGTCGTCACATACGCCACGAACGAGGTGGCCCTCATCCAGAAGCTCATGGTGCACATCTACCCTGGAGTTTCCGTGGATGCTGGCCTGCAGATCTTTGCAGGTATTACTCTAGATTGGGTTGCTGCTATGAAGGTCTCTCGCGCGATTGTGGACCATGGCCACAAGCACTCCGACGGCCACTGTCGATTTGAGTTCCTGATTCGCGGAGCTCGTCCTGGTGCAGCCGCGCAGCCCGTGCCGATGGAGGCCCTCCTGATGAAGACAGTGATGAAGACGGTTGGCATGGTGGACTCTTTCGGCGCACTCGGCGCGCTCGTTATTCAGGCCCGTCGGGCGGTGGCGCTGGATTGGCGCAAGAAGGCAGTCCTCCTGAAGAGGTCGCAAATGGTGCCAAGAAGCCGCGTATGCACGTGCAGCTTCCTGCTGATGATCCCTCAACCCTGCCAGCGGTCCCGCAACTCCCAGAGTTTTCATGGAATCGTGATGCACCCGTTTTCATTTCGAAGGTCGTAGTTGATGATCGCAGGAAAACCATCCCACGGAGAAGGTCGTTTCGTCCCGGCCCCGCCTCTCCCGCCCCCTCCCTCCTGCCGTTTCCCCCCCCATCGTATGTCCTTGCGCGATGCGCCTTCCAATAGAGTCAGGCAGCGAAGAGGACGAGAGGAGAAACGATACGATGGCGACGATGACGCCACCGACAACGCGACGACGAGGAGGAGGACGACGACGACGACCAACAACGACGCCACCGACGACGACGAGGAGAAATAGGAGAAACGCTCTGTCGCAGCAGATCTCTATATGTAAGCGCACTCTGCCGTAGCAGATCCCTGTAGTCATCTGCCATCCCCGCTATCTTTTGGTTATTCCTGAACTTTCCTGGACGGCGCCGACACGAAACGCGACGTCACCGTCCCCCTCCCGGTAACGGCCGCTATCGCCTGGGAACAATCTGCCATATCATGCTTGGACTCGAGTTGGGCGGCCTGGAATGCTACCCCGCCGCCCCGTGATTGATCGGGAGCTCTCGCATCACATCTACACGCGCAACTGTCGCCGACCCTGGAGATCCTGAACCCAAACAAATCTCTCTCTCTCTCTCTCTCTCTGCAAATATTGGGGCGGGGGGGCGATTTGTACTGCTGCTGACTTCTGCCGGCCTTGCGCCAACTTCCGACAACTGAACCGCCCTCGTTGTTTTGCTTCCGCCGGCTTCCGCCAATATTCCTCGAAGACAAGGCCCTCTCTGGAGGCCGGGGGGATCGCCTCCCCCCCCGTCCCGCGCGCTGGGCCTGCTCCGGAGACTTCCAAGACCGCCTGCGTCCGCTTCCAAGACCGCCTGCGACGGCCCGTGAGCATCCACGAAGCTGCCATTGGCCCGCCGAGGATCCCATAAAATGTTGAAGAGCGATATGCTGATTTTTTACATAAACGCACAATTGGCGACGAGTGAATTGCCAAACCAAAACGTGCCCGCATCTATGAAGGAGGCGGCGTTGGGTCTGTCAGAATATTTTCGGACTCCAATGGTAAGATGCCCACCGCAACTGAACAAACTGCGGCCTGCGTTCTGGCTCTGTCCAGCTTGCTGCGTTCTGGCTCTGTCCAGCTTGTCATCCGACATGTCCTGGCCGGTTCTTTTGGTGTGTTCTGACCGGCTCACGGAAAACTGCCAAACTGGAAATAGCGGGCCACCGCTGACAACGGCCAGGGGGGGTCACTGACAACGGCCACGGGGGTCACTGACAACGGCCACGGGGGTCACTGGCAACGGCCAGGGGGGTCACTGACAACGGCCAGTGGGACAACTGACAACGGCCAGGGGGCGGGCTGACAACGGCCAGGGGGGCCACTGACAACGACCGGGAGGGTCATTGACGACGGCCAGGGGGGTCACTGACAACGGCCAAGGGGGGCCACTGACAACGGCCAGGGGGGTGACTGACAACGACCAGGGGGTCACTGACAACGCCAGGGGGTGCCACTGACGGCGTGGAAAGGAGGCGGACGAGGAATGGCGCCCCTTCCGCCGCCCATCGCCGTCCGTCGCCTTCTTCCCCATCCTTTCTCGCATCCTCCTGCTGCTCCTCCTCCTCCTCATCACTCCTCTTCCTCCTCCTCCTCCTCCTCCTCCTCCTCCTCATCCTCCTCCCGCATCCCGCGCCTTCTCGGCCCTGGCCCATCCCATCCCCCTTTTCCGTTTTTTCCTCCTTCTCCTCCTCCTTCTCGTCCTCCTCCTATTCCTCCTCCTCCTCCTCCTGCTCCTCCTCCTCCTCCTCTTCCTCCTCCTCCTCCTCTTTCGGTCCTCCGGAGCAGGGCGGTTTGAGACGTCCGCTGGGAATTCAAAATCGGCCCCTGGGCCTCTCCCAGGCCCCGAGCGCGTGAGTTTTTCGCAACGTCGGCTGTCAGTCTGTTGTCAGCCGGTTGTCAGTCGGTTGTCAGTCGGTTGTCAGTCGGTTGTCAGTCAGTTGTCAGTTGGTTGTCAGTCGGTTGTCAATCGGTTGTCAGTCGGTTGTCGGTCGGTTGTCCGTGGGCCCCCTGGGGGTTGTCAGTGCCCCCCTGGGGGTTGTCAGTGGGCCCCCATGGGGGTTGTCAGCGGGCCGTCAGTGGGCCCCCCTGGGGGGTTTGTCAGTGGCCCCCCTGGGGGTTGTCAGCGGGCCCCCCTGGGGGTTCTCAGTGGCCCCCCTGAGGGTTGTCAGTGGGCCCCCCTGGGGGTTGTCAGCGGGCCCCTTGGGGTTGTCAGTGGGGCCTCGTCGGGGCGGTTCCGAACTCGACAGGAAGGCGTTCTGTTTCGGGACCGCCCCGACGAGGCCCCACCGGCAACCCCCAGGGGGGCTCACTGACAACCCCAGGGGGCCCACTGACAACCCCCAGGGGGGGGCCACCGACAACCCCCAGGGGGCCCACTTACAACCCCCAGCAGGGCCCTCTGACAACCTCCACGGGGCCCCTGGGGGTTGTCAGTGGGGCCCACCCGGGGGTTGTCAGTGGGGCCCCCCTGGGGGTTGTCAGTGGACGACCGATTGGCAGCCGATTGACAACCGACTGGCAACTGACTGACAACCGACTGACAATCAACTGACAGCCGACCGACAGCTCGATCGACACACGCGCGCCGCTCCCCCATCCCCGGCCCCCCTGGACC